GAATTACTATCAAGCCTAGGTTAGGGCTTAAACATGCTATCATTGGAGAGAGATGCAGAAGCGTAAAGGAGGCAGGGCGGAGACCAGAAATAATATCAAGAAAGACGTGATGCTCAAGGAAAGGAAGATGCCTCTTCTCGTCCAGGGAAGAACATCTGGAGCACCAGCAATGCAGGTGGAACCGAGTCCACAAATCTACTGAAAGGTTGACTTTGGCACCAGAGAAGCTGGGCAGGGCAGCTTCTCCCAAAATTTTGGAGGAGCCCGGCCTCTTCCGCAGATATTCCGGCCGAGCGGGGAGGTGGCCGTGTTAAGAGCAGATGTGCAGAGGCCTGGATAGAAATGGGGAGGGGGGCTTTTTCACCAGATCAGCCCATGGATAATGGTGGGGCAGGATGACACGGATCATGCTCACCCCGGTTCCTCCTTGTGCTTCACGAGAATCTGCTCTGCAGAGGTTTCCCACCCTGCTTCCCCATCCCCTTCCTCCTCCTCCCCAACCTGCCACTTACCGAGGCTAAAGAGAATCAGGAATTTCAGGCAGACAAATTCTTGCCTATCCACCTGGAGGGAATGCAGGTTCAGCACCAGCTCCTGGGCTCTCAGCACCAAGTTGTTCAGGATGGATCCCGCCTGGGTGGCAACGGTTGACATGTCCACCTGGAAGGGGGAGATGGGGGTCATTTTCGCCGGCTGCCCCCAGGTACAAAAGGTACGGTCAGTGGGCAGGAGCCTCGGTTTCCCGGTCGTACCTCCTGGCCGGTCACGAGCACCATGCTATGCTCCTTCCCGTACTGGACTTGGCGGAAGATGTGGTCAAACACCAGCAGCTCGCTCCAGCAATTCTGCAGCAGCTTCATCTGATCTCCAACCTGGAAGAGGGAGAAGCAGAACCAGGAGCTGACAGCCCCGCGAGCCCCCTCCCGATCCTTCGAGGCTAAAATGGCTCTGGGTGGCTCTCTGGGGCCTCGTTCGTCCTACGGGACATATACCCCAGCTAAATCCATGGACTGCAACTTCCATCTCCCTTTAGTTCCCCCGCTGATGCAGATCAAGCTGGGCAGTTTTGCCCATCCCGGAGAGGCAGACCAGCGGGCCAGAAGCTGAATGCCACTGAAACCACTGTGTTATCAGGAATCAAATGAAAACAGCCGTACGCTAAATTCGATGTCCTAAATTCGATTTCCTAGTGGTCTCCCATCCAAGAGCATATGACTGGCCGCCTGCTTCTTCCCAATGTCCCAGTCCAGCTAACCCCGCTGGGATTTCCAAATACGAACACCAACAGGGACTGTTGCTTTCCCCACGACATCCCAACCTGATTTTATTCTTATCCCTTATGTCTCTTTCAACCTCCTTCTTCCTCTTTTTTCTTTTAAGTCACCATTTATTCTGTTCCTTTCAACGTTTAAAGAAATAAAATATAACCCCAAGAGAAGGAAACACGGCTCCTCTCACAAGGGTCAAACCAGCTGCGGTTGAGTTTTTGCCCTGCACCTTCATCAGGGGCTGAACCCGTTTCTCCAGCCCCAGGGCAGCTGTACCCCCGGGGCACCAAACTCTTTCTAAACGGCGTGCCCCAAATTGCAAAAGGCACCCCCCAAAAAACACACAAGAGAATTCAGGTCTAATTTTTGCAGAGGGAGGTGGTTTCCTTCCATCACCTCGGAAATGCCCAGAACTCTGGTGGCTTTGGGGAAGCCCAGGGCAGGTCTGGTCCTTGCTCCCTGCCGCCCGATTGGCACGCTGGCCGGAACCAACGTTCCCTGGTGCCGGTATCGGCTCTTAATCGGCTGGCGCTCGGAGGAAAAGGGCACCTTTGCCAAGGGACAATAAAGATCCCAGAATGTTCTGGATAATAAAGATGCCTCCCCTCCACCCTCCACCCCGCTGCCATACCCGGCTTTTATCCTTCTTGCGCAAAGCTCTTCCCACTGAAAGCCAGATGTGGCTACAGCCATACGGGGAAAAGACAGCAATAAAGCAACACTTGGAGAGAAGAAGCAAAGGGGGGGGCTGGGGGGCTGGAAGCACGGTGAGGAGCCAGACAAGTTTGCTGCCTTGGAAATAATTCCGGGTCCATCTCAGGAGAACCTGCTCTTAACAGCGACTTCTGTGCTACGGGAGGTGTTTGCAAATTCTCACTTGCCCAGGGGAGCCATCTGGACAGGGGGAGGGATAACCGCTGTTCCCATTTTACAGGTGAGGCAACTGAGGCCAAGCCAAGACAAGCTGGCCCAGGGCCATGCACCGGAGGCAGGGTTTCCGCTTTGCTGTCCCAGGCCTCGACTCTACATTTGCAATTCCAGATCGACCTATTTTTTTGAAGTCTAGCAACGCATCAGCCTCATTCCAAGGAGCAAAAGCAGGTTCGTGAACTGGGTTATCATTTCCACGCCTGGGGACGGCCCCTTACAATTTGCTGCCAGCGATCTGCTTCACCCCCAGGCTAAGAGAACCCAAACACGCGTCAAGACAGCTGGGAAGATCTCAATCCTCAGATTACGCATCATCGTCCACTGAGGTTTGTTCTCTGAATGCAGGCAATGAACCCTAATCTTGCATTGTTTGCTAAAGGGCTGTGCGAGAAGAAGTGATCTGAACGGAAGCTGGTTTGATCCTGCAACTCCAAGCCAACCCCACCGTTAATCCTGCCGTTAACAAAGGAGAGGGGGTGTCTTTCGCTGCCTGTGCAAAACGCTATTGTTTACTCAAAAGCTTTAGTTTTTGCTTCAACTCTGGTATGTATTTCCTAGAAGACCCCTGTATACATTTGTAGGTAAACAAATAACATCTCTGAGCCCTGGGATCTTGTGACGCTGCAGAAAAGTACCGTGGTTATAGGAAAGGGGCCTTTTTTCTGCATTAAAGCTGAGTTTTACGTTTGCCTGGAAAGGTGAAGGAGACTCACGCTGGGGGTCTCTCCGGCGAGCTTCAGCAGACAAAGACAGCCAGGGCAGAAGCCGTTTCCACCCTTCCTAAGACAGTCGCCAACAGCCCAGAGGGGCTATTTAGAGGTGAAAATTGTTTTCAGGCTGGCTAATAGGGCCATTTCAGTGGAGGGGGGAGGCAGGGGAGGGATTTCCCAGGATTTCTAAGAGAAGAAGGAAGGCCGTAAGTCACAAGAAGAGATCCGGTTTGCCCGAAGGTTGGGGGCGCATCCATTTCACCTCTTAAGCGCTAGGGTTCACTTTGGATTTCCGGTCTTGGATAAAAGGCAGGGTGGCTGAGTTTGGGTGGTGGATTTTTTGTTTTTAAATTGGTGCTGCTTCCTCTGTAGAGGGCCAGAAAGATGGAGCCAGGAGCCTTTGGGGTCCCCCATCTACCCCCCCGCCACCCAGACGTTCCCAAATGCAGAGCCTGGAACGCAGGGCACCCAAATATCCCGGAGGATCCCCGGGGATGAAGGTCGGTGGCAGTTTCCTCCAGAATGCAACGATTGCCGCGCGGGGCTGCAGCGAAAGGGGGAGGTTAGGTGTGCACGCAATTATTTGGTGAAGATTGAAGATGTCACTTGGACAATTGAGAAGGGGGGAAAGAGGCAGACAATCACATTTTTTCACAAGTCGAAGGTGTTAATAACAGGCTAAGGCCCTTCAAATGCCAGGGTGATGGACACCCTCCTCCCCACCCCGCCCCCAAGCCCTGCCTCGCACCGGAAACCTAGCACAAGGGAGCCGGGCGAAGGAGGCGAAGAAGCTTAATTGCCTGCCTGCCTGGCTCATTCAGCACCCAAAGCTGCAACTTTCTAGCTGCATTTAAAGGGGGGGGGGCTTCTCCTCCAGAACCAAATTGCTCCCAGCATTCCCTAAGCAGTTAGCACTGGGAGCGGGGTCACCATGACCCAGATCAAACAGGGCAGATGTGTGCCGATGAGGCCAAGAGCAGCGAGGAGGACCCAGATCCCCCAGCCCAAGGCCTGCTGTGCAACATGGGGGGCGGGGCTCTAGCCTCCTAAGCCAGCCTTAAGCAACCCTCTCCCCCAGTCAAATGGGGTCTTGAGTGAGGGGCAGGGCAGCCCAGAAGGGACCCGGATCAATGCTGCAAGGGTTGCAACAGGAACAGAGCAAAAGGGGGCAGGGGGTCTTCTCTGGATGCCCCCCAAGCAGAGGGCTGCAGGCATGACCAGTGTTAAGAGACAGCAGCCAGGTTCCCACAACGCAGGAGGGCGTTGTCTGCGTGGGAGCCCAGCAGGTATGAATGTTAACCGTTGCCTGGTTTATTTGTCCGGGCGCTGCCAGTGAAGTCAACACGCAGCCCTAGTAAACCCCAATTTGGGGTTCAGCGAGTTGTCAGAATGGGGCGCCTGTGTCTCTATTCCATCCTTCCTCCAGCCCAAGGATTGCTTTCCCCCTCCCAGGGAAAAAGTGAAAGAGAGAGAGAAGTAGATGAGAAATAGAAAGCAACAGGGTTAGCCAGGCAGTCGCATGCAGAAAGCCAGACCTGCAGCGTCTCTCCTGACAGACATCAGGGCCAATCGCTCCCAGCCAGCTCGGGCAGAGGGCAAAGAGGGTCTCAGAGTCCGCCAAGGGAGCGCTCGAGGTTACAAGCTGCGGCATTTCCCAGCAATCCCCAGAATGTCTGTATGCAAAGTCGACGGTCTGCCTCTAGTGCCAGCTGCTCTCTCCCCCCCCACGCCCCCCACTGTCATCCCAGAAGTCCTCCAGCCACCCCCCACCCTCCCCAGCAATCTTGGGGCGGGGGAAGGACCCTTGTTCTGAAGGATGCCCTGCAAGGAGGAGAAGCACGTGTCTTGACACAATCTGTGCCCCACGACTCCCACATTCTGGAAAAGCACCCCAGAGGATCAGGGCAGGCCCCTTGCCCCCCATCCCCATTCATATTCCTTCGAGCCACGCTTAGTTCTCTCCCCAGTTGCACAATTTGGGGCTCAGGGGCCACTCGGGAAGACTGGGATTCCTCAGCCAAGACCCCCCTTTCCCCCATTTTCAATAAGGCAAAGGGGGGACCCCGCCGTCCGCCAACGTCCACCCTGGCTTGCCGTTCTGCTGGAGTGACGGATGCATGCTAAGCTCAGCGGCCCTGTATTAAATTACACGTTAAGGGTGGCGGGGAAAGGCCTGTGTTCCAGTACCAGGCCCGTGTTCCCCAGCTTGCCCGCCCAGGCTGCGTCCCCGCAAATCTTCCCCGAGCCTTGACACCTCATCTCAGCTCACTTAGAGCGGGTATTTATGGGCATCGAGTTTGACCTCTCGCCGGCTGCTTCCCCTCCATAAACAAGCATTCCCAAATCCCTCCTCGGCCCGGCGGCGTTATTACTCTGGCCTCCGAAGGCCAGCCGCGCCAGTAACTCTCCGGCGGGTGACACGGCAGGGACGGCGGTGCATCACTCTGGCCGGCAGATTGGCAGGCGGGGGGCTCTCGTTTGTCAACGCCCAGCTGACAGAATTACGGGCCCTTAAATGAAACGATATATCTGGGGGAAGTCAAATCTTTTTCCAGTCCAGAGGCGCTGAGGGAAGGGGCAGAATATTGCCTGTGACCCCGATGTCAAGAGGGTAATTAGACCCACAGCAACGCAATCGTCCCTCGTCCTTCGCTGTAAGGCGCCAACTCCCTCCCCCCCCCCCGCCACCCAGGGACCTTGAAGCCATTGTAGGGCGGGGGGGGGAAGAGGGTCCTGCCACATCTTCCTGTTCTGTGTTTTTTTTTTTTTAATTTAGCTTGGCAGTCTGCTCCGTTGGGACAGAGACAACGGGTGGCTTTCCAAGAAGGGAACCCCCCCCAGGTAAAGCAAACCATCAAAGGTGGCCATAAGGACTGCAAAACCTGCCCTCTAAGGGCCAAAGGTAGAATCTCTCTGAAAACCAGCCGTTCTGCTCCTGGTTTCAGAGCTTCTGCCCCAAGGGCCTGACCCAGGATAGCTCGGTTTAGCGTCCCTTGTTCCCCTTCCCCATGCTGTTTTCCAAAGGCCAGCACTTTTCCCCTCCCTCTGGCCTGGGGGTGGGCAACCTACAGCCCTCAGCCACTTGCAGCCCTTGGCCCAATATCTGAAGTCCTCTAGGGGAGAGCAGGCCAGGTGTCTGCTAAAGACTCTGTGACCCTATGGCTCTGGGGCTTGAGAGGAGAGGGTAGCCAAAGAAGGACTATGACTGTGACTCCCGGTCCCATAGATAATAATAATAATTAAAAAAATCTCAGACTATCCATTATCCTTCTTGCAGGGTTACTGTTCTCTGCATCTTTTGCCATTCATTCAAGATAATTTCCAAGTTGGTTTTCTGCTTTCTGAAACAGAGGGGCCTTCTCTCCCCGGTTTTGGTGGGCAGAAGATGCTTCAAAGCAGGAGAATAAACTTCATCTCTTCGTAGGGAGAGGAGCAGACAGTCAGCATTGTAAAAGCAGCCGCTATCCATTAACTTAATTATGATGTTGCTATGATTATGAAGATTTCAGTTTGTAGCTCTCACCCACCCACAAGACAATTGGGGAAGCTCACAGAAGCACCACATTAACACAAACACTTGAAAATCAGCAACGGTTAAAATCATAATAAACTTACCCAGGAATATTATACCTCTGCCTAAGCCTTTTTAATCCCGTTTCAAAGTTACAGGGATGAGCACTGGCCTTGAAAACAGGTGTTGGAGCTGAATCCTCCCCTCCCCACAGCTGTTCCGAACTACCCACTTTGTTCACACTACAGAGCAGCATGTATTGTCCAAAAATGCGCCCACTAGGGAGAACTGCTCGCAACATTGCGCGCTTGGAAACAGGATGTGCAGAAAAGCAAGGACAACCTGGAAAACGCAGCTCCAAATCTGTAGGAGTTTTGAGGGAGGAAGAAGACGAGGACGAAACGGAGGGAGTGCAAGCGATCGGCGATTGCAAAACATTTACGCGCATTCTCCAAAGCTAAGCAACTCTGCAGTGACACTACCTGGAGAAGGGTCTTACTAGCCCCTGGCCGTATTCCAGACCAGCCTTCGAGCACTTGGCTCAAATGCCCGGCACAGGGTTTCTATTCCACCAGTGGGTTTAGTACGGTGACGTAAAGCCCACTCTGGTGAAAAGTTTGTTTCAACCTCTTCACGGGGAAAGGGCAGGGGAAGGAAGGAAACAGAGGGAGATTTCAACGGGTGCACAACGCTTGCTAATAGAAATGGTGCACACACCTACTGGCATCTTTCGCAAGAAGGGGCAGGGATGGCAGGCTGGAGGAACGGCCTGCCACGAGATGGGGTGACCAGCATGGTTGGTTGGTTAGCTAAAGGGGAGCGAGGGGGAGGGCTGGATCAGGTGGCCTGTCAGCCAATGAAGCCTCCATGTGCACGCGCAGTCTACCCCCAAATAGGGAAAGGGATGCAGAGGAAAAGGAGGGGAGGGCCACCGGGCTTGTGGCTTTGCCACCGGGTGAGAACAGAATGGAGGCAGGACTTTGGGGTAGATGGGACAGACTCCTCTGGCAGGGGTCTCCCCAGGCCATAAAGTGCAGAATCAGTTAGCTGGTCCAAGGTGCAAAGTCCTGCTTTGCTCTGAGTGACTGTGGGGAGGGGGACAGGCACCCCCTGCCATTTCAGCTAGTCCCAAGCTCAGCCCCATTCAACCAGAGTTGAGAGGCCAGCGATGCCCTCTTCCCGCCTCTTCCGGTGAGACACAGTTTTGCAGGGTCAGTCCTTCCTTGGACCGCAGCCTGTCCTGGAGCTGGACATGCTTGCTGCCAACCCCCCCCCTTTAATTTCCCCTTCCTGTTCTACCAGCAAAGCAGCTACAACCGAGGGCCAACACCAGCCATCTCCAGCTGGAATTCTCCAAGTGTGTGGCAACAGCTGGGTTTCCCTGCACAGCTGTCTGGAAAGACGCCCCAGGGGCGTCTCGGATCCCATCCCTGAATTCTGTTCATGGTGCAAACCTTGCTGCTGCCCTGCGCTCAGCTCCTGGACCCTCGACTGCCGAGCCCAGGCAATGGGCCCCCGCATGGCGGCCCCCAGCTCACGGTTATGCATCTCAGCCTTGGCCGTGCTGACTTCACTGTCTGAGGCACATAAAGTGCAGGGGACCAGCTGGCGCGGAAAGCACACCTGCTAAACGTTCCCATTCACGCAAGTGGGGCAAATAGCAGGCACACCCCACATCAGCAAGGAAAGGGGCACCCTGGTTCCCCAGACGTGTTCTCCTGAGGTTCCCTTAGAAAGAAAAACCGGTTCAGCCAGTGATGGTCCCAGTTCCACCTCCCAGCGTTGGAACCAACCAACGGTCCTCCCAGTGGCACCCCAGGTGCCATCTCCAATGCCAGGGGAAAACTCCCTCCGGACCCCCTTCTCAGACCAGCCCTGCAATAGTGCCTTGGGCAGGAGGGGGGGGGGTCCTCTCCCACTCGCCCCTGCCCGGGCACTCACCTCCAGCTCCTTGAAGAAGATGCAGCTGCGCGCCCACTCCACGATGGCGAAGAGCGTCTGGTCTGCCATCTTGCACAGGAGGCCGAAGGCGCTCAGCTTCTCGGGGCGGCCTTTGCCCTGCTCCTGCTGCAGGCAGGCCAGGATGCGGCCCTTCAGCTGCGCCTCGTCGGGCTCCAGCTGCAGCAGCTTCAGGATCACCTCGGGCATGTCCAGCGCCGTCACGGGGGACCCGCCGCCGCCACCGCCGCCGCCAGGGTAGGC